CGCGCCGCTGCCCCCCGACTCTCTGCAGCGCGCTGGGGCAATTTCCTCAGTAATTAGCGACCTGAGCCGAAGTGTCCTTCGTCTGATGCTGGGGGCCCTTATATATAGATGTAAAGGGAGGCTGGTCCGCAGCGGCCAGTCTTTATTAGCATATCCCACCACATCCCCTGCCGGGGGCTGTCTGGGCAAGCCCCCTCCAGTCCCCAGGAGACAATTTGCTCTGCACCGCTCCTTTGGAGAGCCGTGAGCTGAGCACTTCTCTAATGAACGACCTCCCCAAAAGTGGTTGCGACATCTCCGAAATTTAAACCAAGTCTGGGAATTTGCAGTTTGGGGATGGAAGGAGAATGGGGGGCAGCGGACGCGCACGAACCGCTGACAGTTCCCACAGAGCCGTTCCTCGTCCCGGTGTTCCCGTCTCCCATCACACGCTGCAGCGGGAGGGACACCGTCTCTCCCCACGGGGGGGAATTAACGTAGAGCCCCCCCATGGCACCTACAGTGTTTCCTTGCGTACCTTTATTGCCCACAGCCTGTGGCCCAAGTCTAACGTGAAAGGATTTACCTCTTTTTTCAAACCTTTGTTCCTTTATCTTGAGGAGACCTTGTCCTATAATCAAAGCTGTGGCACCAAGCGTTTAAATTTATAAACCGGGGGACAAAAATGCACAGCTACTTGTGGCCAGGAGAGACGGGAAAAGAATCCAGATGTTAGGACTGTCGGATCGGGTCACAGGGAAAGGTGCTCACAAAAGAAAAGGGTGAGTGTCTGCTCCGAGCCAAATCCCCTTTCCATTCTTTCTCCTGCTCGTGTGACCTGGCGCTGCTAGAGACACAACACTCGAGCAGTGCCTTGGGCTTGCTAATTTTCTGCTTTCAGGCAAACTTGTACCGTTACAGATGCGTCCCAGCTGCCAGCGCAACAAACCCCTCCTGGAAGTGTAAAATTTCTAACCCCACAATCCCTAAGTAACTTTACACAAGTCGGGGACAAAAGCTTTGCAGAACTCCGGCCGCGGCAGTAGCTGAGCGGAGCGGTGCAGGGGTCATTAGAGCGGTAATGAAGCCATTTAACAGGCATTTGCTAATGCGCGGGAATCCTTTGGTTTCATCCAGGTGGCTTTTGTAGTTGAGGGAAATATTATGAGAAGGCAAAGGAAACCTTCCCTACCTGGGAATAAAATTGTGACCTAGGTTAACTCAAACGAAGTGACCCAGCAGCGGTTCAAATGCTCCGGAGCGGGTGTGTGTGCCAGGGAAGAGGTGATGCGGGGGGCACGGCATGCGGCGCTCTCAAGGAGCCTCTCTTCAAGTGAGCAAGGCGAGTGGGGAACATCTCCTTAGGGAGGTTCCTTGCACAAGCTCACACCGCTGGAAATCCCGCCCCATCCGCCCGATCGATCCATCCGATCGATCCGCCCGGGCGAGGC